CTATTGCTCTACTGGCTCTAAGTTCAGTGGCGCCCGCCAAACGGTACTAAGTGTCCAATTTTTTTAATACAGCACGCACTGATGTTAGTACCCATTCTCTAAAATGCTGACAAGGCATCACATGCCCCCATCGTGCCAAATATTGAAGCAGAAATAAAACGTAGACATAATGCTGTTGGGGCGCTACACGTAAGACCGAATATTTATGTTTGGGGCAACTACACGTAAGAACAATATATACGTTAGACCCGTTTTAAGGTTAAGGACCCCAATGGAAATAAGTTTACAGTCCTGATGACTCCACTGACTTTTCTGATTTATCATAGATGGCTAACCCTCTGGGTTAATTGTTTCTCAGTATTCTCATAAGCCACACCAACAAACAGTCTCCACATCCTCGACAAGTAACAGCTGGCCATGGTGCAGCAGCAGCAGCTGAGGGTGCTAGCAGCAGCACAGAAGCACAGAACTGACAGTGCTACAGCAGCAGCATTAGCTAACCAAGTGCCAGTAGTAGCTGACAGTGCAACACCAGCAGCAGTCATCTGACCAAGGTGGAGCAGCAGCTGATGGTGCTACAGCAGTCACAGCTGACCGAGTGCAGAAGCAATGACGGTGCTACAGACAGCAGCAGCAGACCGTGGTGCAGCAGCAGCTGACCATGGTATGATAGTATTTCGATAGTATTCTCACCTTTTATACCACCGGGTTGGCACTAAGAAGCTCTCTTTGGGCCCATGGTGCTTATATAGCATTAGAAGCACTAAAGAGCACTGGAATAATACAAAATATCCGAATATAATGCGTGGGAGCGACCGGCTCTGGCCTTGTAACATTAGCACACAACTGAAGGCAGGCCAGCTTGGAGGCACTCTCAATCGGACAGACACGGGAGTTGCTACGACAATGCTGTAGGTCGAGTTTTTCACCATAACGCCGTGGTCAAATTTTTACGCTGAAATCATCGTAGGTCCGTTTTTACGTAGCTTGGGGACATCGTATGTCGGGGGTCTACTGTAAACTCAAAAATTCTAGCGGCTTCAAATCAAGCAGGAGAAAGCTGGTAGGCCCACACATGTGAGAGAATGGGTCTGTGTTGTCAGTATGTGCAGTATAAGAAAATCCTGCAGCAAGCAGTGCATAATGGGAAAGAAAAAACTCCGACCGGTTTTCGATTAAAATGCCGACTTTGAAGTGTATTTCGTATAGTTTTTATGGTTATATTCTCAATTTTCATAGTCACATTTGATAGAATGGAAAACATATTATAGAAATGGAGGTAATTTTGATTGGTTTTATTATGAAAAGGACCTTGAAATGGAGCTCAAAGTAGGGGAAATGTTTGATTTTGCTGATGTTCAAGAGTAAACAAATGATGTCATTGAGCAATAAATGTCCGATTAGTGATTTTAATATGCAGTCATGAATGGTTGACATTATTTATACAATTATTAAAATATTGGCAGTAGTCTGCATAACAGTAAATCTTCTACTTTTTTGTTTCAAATAAAAATTCAAAATAGAAAGCAAGAGTAATGTCAGAAGGGCCTGGAGACATGACTGATAAGCAAAGAAAATGTTACTTTAGAGCCAGGAATGTCTGCATTGTTCATTCTGGACCCTATTTTGAAATTGGCATATTTTAATTGCATGAAATTGGCCAAATTGCCAATTTCTGACCACTTTATTGGGTAGTTGAAATTGGTAAATGGGCAGTTTTTCTTGTACTCAATCGATAGAACAAATGGAGTTACAAAGAAGTAGCTGTGAGTTTGGTCAACTGGAACAATGGAATTAGCCGCAAATAGGGCTCAAAGTGGGCAAAATCGCCGATTCGTAAATATTACCGAGGTCGCTAACTTCGTGAGAGCGTAATTCTGTAAGTTTTTGCATAAAATTTTGTACTTTTGAAGTCATTACCATCGGAAAAAGATTCTCTGTTATTTCATGATTTTTTTTTTTTTTTTTTTTTTTTTTTTTCAAAATATTTTGCGACACCATGGAGACACCTCAGGATTTGGGGTTGCGACAGTCAAAGGGTTAATGACTTTCACCACACCTTCCTTTGTCCAAACAAGGAGACATGGTAGGGAAAAGGACACAAATCGGAAGGCCCC